AAATAAAAGTAAACCTATACCTCTTTTCAAAGATCTTTCTGGGGTTCCCAAAATGATATAGTTGGAAAATAACTCTCAACCTGCTAGATATCAAATACACCAAGTTCATGTTTCCCAAAGTTAAAGAATAAATTCTAAAGAACAATGGAGGTTAAGGGTAGGAAAGTTTATTGGGGAACAGGAATGGCTCCTGAGAGACAGGGGGACTCCCAAATTTGTTGTCCACTAGTTGGTTTTATACGTCTTTGAAATGACATCCTGAGAGCTCCATTGTGCTGTCAACTAGGAGATAACACTTTCAGCCTGGATGACATGGGCTTCAAATTAATGATCAGCTCACAGAGCTATTCTCTCAGAGCAGAAATACACAGGTCTTCCAACCAAAGGGTGAAATGAGAATGGCACTCTCTGCTTTTTTTTAATGTTTTTTTTTTGTTGTTGTTGTTTTTGGTTTTTGGTTTTTATTTGGCTATTTTTGGCTTTCCATCTCTTCAACTCTGTGATTTGCTAATTTAAAGTTCTTAAGTCTCAAGTGAGAAATTAATCCATGTGCACAAAACAATGTTTTCATAAACCAAGAAGTTGATGGGTGGCCAATTTGGATTCTTTATGCCACTGAACTAAGAAGAAAGAATGAAGTTTTTTCTGGCTCTGGGTGTTGACTGCAACACAGTGAAGACAAAGAAGTGTGGACTGTATAGGGAATTCCTGGTACTAATAGTTTACATCCAGTAGTGTGAGTTAGTGCAAAACCATAGCATCCCAATAAAGGCAGGACTCCTAAAAACTTGGACCCTTCACAGTGGAAGTTTGGTGTGCCCCGCAGGGAGCGAAGCCCAAGTAATTGTGCAGGTAAGTCAGCTTGATTCTGAGAGCTACCAAGACCTTATTTCTAGGTGTATCTGTGAGGTTATTGCTGAAGACACTAGCATTTCATTGCTACCCTGAGGACAGATCGATTTTACCAATGCAGATATGGATGGTCCAATTTGTTGGAAACCTGAATAAAAGAGGAAGGGTGAATTTCTCTTTTTCCTGTTGAACTGGACAACTATTTTCTCTGTCCCCACACATGATGAATCTTCAGGCTTTTGGATCACTGCCCCTCCCATTTGCAGACCTTTAGCCTCACATGGAATTGCACTACTGGATTTCCTGGTTCTCCAGCTTGCAGATACCAGATGGTGGGGTTTCTCAGCGTTTACAATTGTGGAAGCCAATCCCTATTGTAAGTCTTCTCTTGTATCTCTCTCTATAGCCTATTGATTGTATTCTCCTGAGATCCTGACTGATACAGTAACCAATGTGCCAAGAGCAAAGGAAATTTCAAAGGATAATAATAAATATAAATGTTTAAAAGGATAATAATAAATATAAATTGCAGGCCCAGCCAGATAGCTCAGCAGACTAAAGCACCTGCTTAGGTAGAGCGCAGCAGCTGGGGTTCTATCCCAGGCATGCTGTGCCAGCCCCGCCCCCAGGGTGAGCTGAGGTGGCAATTGAGACTGGGCGTGGTGGTGCGCACCTGTAATCCCAGTGCTTGGGAGGCTGAAAACAGGAGAATCACTATGAGTACGATCTATGTAGTGAGACCCTGAACACCCTGTAGATCCTGTATTAAACATATATAAAAAAAATAGAATGAAAAAACTAATAATAAAATATAAATTGCAACCTCATAACAACACAGAAAAAATCTATGGGATGTATATTTCCTTATCTTCCCGTTTTGCTTTGTACTTATTTGTACAAATTAACTAGTTCTTTCTTTTTTCCTATATATAAAATGTAGGTGATGATTATTTTTATTCTTAAAAAATTTACATAGGGTGTAATTAAAATGGAAGAAAAATTAAGATCCCCTAGAACTAGAAATAATCTATGATGAGAAATTGTGTCATTTCTTTTAGGATTATGATACCGTCTTCTTTACAGAAGGCATATTTGCATGATATGCTACTGCTAAAGGTTTAAATAGGTGGTAGAAGGGTGAGAATGAAGGCTAAAGACCCAAAAAGTAGGATTTCTCTGTTTACTCCTACCTCCATTCCTGCCTTAAAGCTTCTTTCTAGAATTCAGGAAAAAATTTACACTTCCTAGACATTCTTACTAGCCAACTTTTCCTTGCGGTCATGAAAGGAATGCTGAAGTGTTTTCCTCTCTGCTTCCTATTGGGCCCCTGGCTCATAGGAGGCAGGAGGCAGCACAGGTGGCAGGTCAGTACTCGTTTTCTTCCTCATCAATGCCAGTCCAGAAACATCAGCAGCTGAGTTGTGAGCCACATAGTAGTCACGTGTTTTTAACTTCACAGCTCCCCTTTATCCATAAGAGATTGATTTTATAGTTTTTTGTTTGTTTGTTTTTGAGACAGGGTCTCAATATGTAGTTGAGGATGGCTTTGAGCTCATCATGGAGTACAGGTTGGGCTTGAACCCATGGTGGTCCTCATGCTTCTGCCTCCCAAGTGCTGGGGTTATAGGCATGTGCCACCACTCCCAGCTTCCTATAGTTATTAATCTCTGGGAAACTTTTTTTTTTTATTTCTAGTCTTTCAACTCATTGTAACCAATTTCCAATGTTAAATTCCCCACTGGCAATACTTCATGGGGTTCTTTTTCCTTGACATAACAATTGCTGAAACATAAATCCATAGCCCAGGCAAGGCAAAGAAAAACATGGAGTCAATGGCGGTAAGAACAGTGGTAGAAAGGCTAAGGGAGAACATGGTGGAGAGATCAGACAAGGGTTCCTTTATACGGTCAGCAAAACCATACCCTGATTTTTGATGTGCAAAGAGTAAGGGAATGGAAATGAAAATGGAAATTGTTGGTTTTACTCTGAGGGATGAGACCTTTTAACCATGACTCAGTAATGCTATTCGTTTCTTCAAGTGACTATTAAAATCAAGAATGATAATTCTAGGACATGAAACAGGAAGAAAGATGGGGATAAGCAGAAGCTCTCTAAAACACAGTGATCTTTTTTATTAGGAATATGCATTTTAATGGCCAAGAGAGGCTTCAAGTAATCACACAAATTATTTCACTCTCTTCCAACTGCTAGACAAACACATAATGAAAATGCCAGCAACCGTTCTGCCTCGCATCTCAGCAATCGCTTAGAGCTGTCAGCAGTTGAGTGAATACAAGCATAGATATTTGGCTTTGTAAGTGTGCTGGCATCTTAAATTTTCCTGCAGGGTATACAAAACAAAAACAATAAAAGGTTGTAGATTAATATTTACTGTTATCTCAAGTCAGTGGTGCTCTTTTAAAAATCTTAAGTTATAATCACGAAAAAAAAAAAAGAAGTATCACAAGATTCAGAGTTTAATGGTATGGCAATTACAATATAATTAGCCTATATACTTCATACAGAATGACATAAAATCATCATTAGTGAATAATACATTAAGATGGTGAAGGCAACCAGATGTTATTTATACCTCATTTCAATGAGGTATTTAGAAATGGTTCCATTTTACACTGTATGAATTAGATTCCCTAACTTCTCTCTTCTCTGCAGTGATGTTACAGGTGGTAGCGCCTGAAATTTCCCTCCGAAAACACAGCACATTGATTTAACACCAAAAGAGCAAATCTGTGACTGCTGCGCTCTTAAAAACCTACCACTCATTTCTTTTAGCTAGATTTGTTTAGAAATGTCTATATCATATTTAGACACTGTGTAACTTAATTATATGCACAAAACAGTCACTCCAGATAGAAGGCTGGTACTTTCCCCCGCAGTATACTTGGCTGTTTCCCTTTACACTTCATGTGTTACTGCAGATCCTATCACCATTGTCACGTAGCTCCATCTCTACCTGCTGCAGAAGTGCACTGTACTCAGCCACACTGACTGCACTGCTCTGAGTTTTATTTCCAAATGATAACTAGAGCCAAGAGCGTACTGAACTGAGCAAGCTGAAGTTTTCGTGTATGCTAAGAGTGGACGTGGAGCATGAGTCTAGGGAATCAATATTTTATGAGAGAAAATTTATCTCCCCCAAAATCTGTTCACATAACTGTAGGTAACTCTTGGAAGCACTGATTTGTAAGGCTAAATCTTAAGGGTAATATCTAAGATTTTACCGAAATCAACCAATCTTTAGATCTCTCAGCTGAGACCTGTTCTGTCTTTCAGCTTCCCTGGTTTTTGTCTCTTATACTGCTTTCACAAGTTCTCTCACAGCTAATTCAGGGGATACCAGACAAATCCATTGGATAGCTGCATTCCCAAGGTAGGAAACTAGAAATAACGAAGGGTGATGGGATAGACGCATTATTACTGCCTGCTGGTTGTTACCAAGGACATCCGAAGCAAAGAATCAAGCAAATGTAGAAATGCAGAGGATTTTTTTTCCAAAATAAAATTCTTTATTCTTTTCAGATAATATAAATGATACATAGTATAAAATTTTCAAATACACAGAGGTCTAAGTAAAGCCCAAAGACTGCAGCTCAGAAAAGAAAAATCATCACCATTTGACAAAGGGCTCTCTATGAAACATAAATATATATTACCTTAAAATATCCAATTTAAATGGGCTCATATTAAACATGTCATTCTGTAGTCTTTTTCACTCAGTATTTCATAAACAGATAGCAATCAATATATATCAAAATAACTGTAATGGCAGTTGCATACAATTTAATTGCATATATATGTTGCAATTTATTTAATCCACCTTCTACTGTGAATATTTAGGTTATTTCCTACGTTCAAATGTCATAAGTAGCATAAAGCACATCTTTGGGCTTATGTTTACACAGCTGTGTGATTGTGAGATTATTTCATAAACAAACTGCTGGGTAAAAGTTTTGCCACATAGTTTTTTTAGAAAGGTTGGCCCAATTTTCAGGCCAGCAGACAGTAAAGAAAAATGTTGCTTAGCTCATTTGTCAATCACTTTAATCTTTGTCAATCTGGGAGGATGAAGTGAAGAGTAAGAAGAACATGATAATCACACACATACTTGCCAGCTGCTTTTGTTTTTCAATAGCAGAAGCTTTTACCTATCTTCAGGGCAGATACATCTTGAATTTAAGTAAAGAGTTTTCAGTTTCATTCCCAAGCCAACAGTACTATGACTCAGGACAAGAGGGAACCTCTTTTAGATTCATTTACCTTGGTTCCCTAGTAACAGAATCTAGCTCAACAGGCTGTTTAAAGTTTCAGTGGCACTGAACACAACGCACACACTACTACATACAATGATAACTCGCTCTGCATCTTCTACAAATAAGCTCTTTTCACCCCCATTAACTTCTGTTCCAATTAATGTTGGTTTCTGAGACTATCCTAAAATTAACAAACCAAAGAAAAACTTTCAATATTCTCTTGCTATTTATAGACTGCAAAAGTTGTAACAAGGCAGATAATATACACAAAAAGGCTCATCTCTTTGGTAGGCAACACAGCACTCTGGAAAAAAAAAAAACAACTTCTTAAAAAATATTTGCAAGTCAAAACCAAGAACAGTCAAATGTAAATAAATATTTTGTGACAAAAAGGTGGAACACAACAAACATGAATTCATTCCCTACCAAAATATTGGCCTATCATGGCTTAACATGGTTTGGAATGTTTTCCACTATAGGAAAAATTCATATGCAATATATACAAGGTCTAATTTCTTTTATCAAAGATATTTTAGATATTAGTATTTTAAATTAATAACTTTAATCCAAGAATAATGAAATAGAATCATGTAAGCAAATGACTGATGCTAGTATGAATACTAGAAAGAGAAACTGGGTGCAGTTTGGATTACAGCCTTCACCTAGATACACCAGTGATTGTGCCCTTTTCAGAGCTTTCAGTAGCACCACGCAGGCCATAGCTCACCACCACTGGTATAACAAATGGGTCTGAGGATGTTCTGAAGAACTGCCTGATTCACTTCTTACAACTATTTATTGGGCCATATTACATGCCAGGTAGTATACTATCCAATAAGGACACAAAATAAGCAGGACACAGACTTGAACTTTCAATTTTGCAAAGGAGGAAAAATAATTCTACAGGCAATCCCAGCATTATGTAATACACGGGGTGAGATTTAGGTAGAACTTCAGACCCTTTAGGAAAAGCATGCTGAAGATGCCATTAGTAGCCAAATAAATGCCCCAAAGAAATTTTTAATAGAAAAATAGTCTGTCGTGACTGCCACAAAATATGCCATATGCTGCTTAGAGCACTCTAACAGCAAGGCAATAGGGCATTCTGGGATTGCAAACTACACAATAGATAAGGAGGAAACTTGTCTGAATCCCTTAGGAGAAGCTCAGAGAGAAGATGGGGCCTATAACAGGAGAATATGCTGGAATCTATGCACTCAAGTAAAACTCCATGTGGATGGGATATTTGTTGGTTTTGACTTTCACCACATCCTCAGGTCCTACTAGCCTGATATAATGGAGGTCACTGATAAATATTCATTTAGAAAATTGATGGACGGATTTACTTAAGCCACATCCTATAAGTGTCGGGGCACATGGCTCCAGCAGAGGGGCAGGATGCTGGAAAACGCAGAAGTGATGAGAAGCCTTGTAGGCCTATGACAAACGTGGAAAACTGACAAGTCACTTTTCACATCCACACCCTTGATAGGCTTGAGTTCCCAGTGACTTTTTTTGTGCAATATGGAATACTAGCAAGATCAAAGACTTTGGAGTCTGACAAATCCTGCTACGATTTCCAAATCTGGGAGGACCTCTGTGAAGTTCTTTAACTTCCCTGAGTCAGTTTCTTCATCTGTGAGGTGGAACTCACATCTTCAGGGAGGCTGTAAGGACTAAGCATGAAAAAACACCCAAAGCTCTACATCCTGTTGCCAACACCCTCACCTATCCTCATGGCCAGAGATGGGAAGGCCACATCCCCATTCCTGGGGCAACCATTGGAGAGTGCTTCTTAAGTGATTGTTTGCACTTCTTTTAGTCCTTTTTCTCTTTTCAAAATGCATCTCCAAGAAGCTTCTTCATTCTCTCCAAAGTGTACAGTGATCTACTTATCTTCCACCTTTCAGCATTTACTTTCAGTTCACTGATGTATGCCTCAAATAATAGATTGTATCAAATACACAGCTTAAGTAGATGTCCCCCTGCTTACTACCACGCTCCCTACTTGGACACCAGCTTGCTAGCTAACACAGTGCCTCATTCTCTAAGATGCTTAATGACTGCTACTGTCAACAATTCTCATGTCCAATCTGAAAGGCCCATGGGTCTCCACAGTTGTCCTATATAGGCTGGTGTACCATGCCATAAAGCGACACTGTTGTGCGAGGGATCACAAATCCTCACAATACTCAAAAAGTCAATAAAACTGTTAGAAATCCATACTTATTTCAAACTGGCAAAACAGTTTCTCCATGTTTTTTAGGGAATTATAAAACAGTGAATGCAAAAAATAAAATAAGTGATCTTTCAACCTAAAAACTAAGAAACACAGAAAACAGGATGAGTAGATTACTTTTATTTTTGGTGGTCCTACAGATTGAACCTAGGTCTTCAAGCATGTTAGGCTGGGAGTGTACAGCTGAGCCTCATCTGAAGGACTTTGTATTTTTTATTTTGAGACAGAGTCTGGCTGAATTGCTCAGGCTCATCTCAAATTTATTATCTTCTTGCCTCAGCCTCCTGAGTAGCTGGGATTACAGGTTCTTACTACTGCTCCCTTTGATAAGCAAAATCGTGTACGTAAATTCAAGTTTGCACATCACAGGCACAGAAGCTCACTCTTGGTCTCTTCATATATCTTAGTTTCCACATCAGGAAGCCAAGAAGGTACTCTCTGATCACCTATTGCAGATTGCAAGATTTCCTTCCTATCAATTAACATGCACTCACTAGAAGCCAAATCTAGTCAGGAGGACTGAATCATTCAGTGGAAGGTCAGGTGTTTTTCAGCAACATCTGCCTACCACATCATTAATCAGATCACTGTGAGCTAATCTGACTGAGTCTTTAACTGTGCAAAATAGACACTTCATAGGATCATTAGTCAACATTCCTAGAGTTCCTGCTCCATGCTGACCAATATCCAAAGTACGAGAGTGAATACAAAAAAAAAAATAAAATAAGTGATCTTTTAGCCTAATATATATGGTAGAATCTGCTGATATATAAGAATTTGAGAAAGTACTAAGGCAGTGGTTCTTGAGCGGCAGGCTTCACCTTGGCAGCCTCAAAACCAACTGGGAACCAAAAGCAAATCAATTTCTAACCTGAGACTGAATGAACAGACCATTCAGGTGGGACCCTGCACATTGAGTTTTTAACCAAGCCCTCTGGGTCATTTTAATGGAAAGAGGCCATGAGCTGGGAAAGGCAGGTGACTCACTAGAGGCTAGAAAAGGCAGACAAAGGCCTCCTCCCTAGAGCCTCCACAAGCAATGCCACAGCCTTTGGACCTCTAGAGCTGAGATGTTTTATGCCGGTAAATTTACCATTTGCTACAATAACAACAGCAAATGAATACAGTATAAAGAATTTCCAGTCTAGTAAGAGAGACAGGATAACATGAGCAACTTTGACATAATTCAGAAAATGACAAGTATAAAGCAGAAATACAAAGAAATTACTATGGAAATGCTGACAAAGTGCACACTTCTGGCTGAAGAGATTAAGGAGGCCTCCTGGAGGATGAGAGTTTGGTAGAGACAAACAACTGATTAGGATTTCAATAGGGGAGATCCAAGAACACAGCTGGAATAACAAAAAGCTGACCTAGACTCTGTGACCAGTTATTTTCTCACCAACAACACTTACTTGCTTACCTGCTTCTCAAGATATGATAGGTCTCTGAATTAGTAAAAGTCAGTACAAATAGTCAACAACTAGATTATATGTAATAAAACAGCCTAAGAGTTTGAATACAGAAATACAGATCTTTGGCAGGAATCCCATCTCTGCACAAAGCATGCCCTACCTAGCCAAGTACTAGGGGCCAGTCACAGTTAAAAAAAAAAAAAAAAGAAGCAATTCTTTCAGAAGACATCTACTAACACTTACAAATTACACATTTCCTTCACCAGCAAACTAAACCAATCAACAGGATCCAACTGAACATCCTTAGCTGAGATGGTTCTGAGGATCCATTTGGGTGATTCTGGACACGAGAATCCAGTCCTTCCTTGGTAGGTTCTGATTGCTTTGTTTGGCTGTTGTTAGCGCACAGGGTCTTCAGTAATTGTGAATGGGTCTCATTTGTTTGATCATGAGGCCACTGCTCTGACAAAACACCTGCTTAAGTCACTCTGTTTCGGCTTGGGAAGGAAGGAATGGAATGTCCTTAGTGTTTATTTGCAGTACCCAAAGTGCCGCTGGCCATTCACATGGCGACCATGTTTTCTCCAAGGTGAAATCCTCTGCACAAGTGCCACAGTGACACTTGTTTTTTTTTTTTTTTTTTTCGGTTGGGTTTTTTTCTTTTTTTTTATTGTTCATGTTCATTCCAGAAAAGTTCAGAGGAGCACCTCGTCTGCACCAGCCTGCTTCTGTAAGCTACAAGAATGGCTTGGGGCTTCAAAAGAAGAGTCCAAAGTTACCTCAGTGGCCTGTAAGTCATGGGATGAAGGTGTGTGCTTTGGGGACCAACTTTCCTCAGAAGGAAAACTGGGCATGTTGCAAGCATCTTTGCTTCTCCCGGTCTTTCTGTTCAAACCCAGAAATGTAACCTCAGACTGGCTGCACTCAAAAGGGATGTTCGGAGTTGTTCTATCTTGCCTCAAACCTCTGTCATGAGGTGGTGAATGATTAACCTGGCTTTCATCATCTTCCACTGGAATACTTGGCACGTTATCCAGGAATAGAGGAGAAGGACACCTGAAGGACCTGAGTGATGTGGGTGGGTCTTCTGCAAAATACAAGCTGACTTGAGCGCTTTCAAGAGCATTTAGGACCTAGTTAACAAAGAAGCAAACAAACACCGAGTTAAGCTTGATGAGCATCCTCTTTCACTTCTTTGTCCTGACCTTTAAAAAATATTCTCTCATTTTCATGAAGTAAGTGCAGTAAATTCAGAATTTGGAGTTAGAAAATTTTTTTCAAGGCCCACACCAATTGACTTGCAACATGGTATAAGAGAAATCACACTGACTGAAAAATCAAGCAAACCAACTTCAGCCTTGGATTTGTCATCAGTGACCTTTGTGGCCTTGGGTGAGGCTTCACATTTTTTTACATCAAGGGGAAACTGGAATAGCATGAGGACAATGCTGACCTCCTCACCTGTACGGTCAGCAAACTGAAGGGAGCGCTCTGTAAACACAAAAGGTGACTAAGAAAAAACTCAGTAAATGTGTTTAAATATTTAAAAATTTATTGCAGTAAATGAAGTTCCCATTTCATGGAAGTGTAGTCCCATCATCATGGCCAGATGCCCTGAAGGGATTCAAAGCATTTACCTTTCATGGTCATTTTGACTTGGAAAAAGCTAGAAGTCACACAGTGCCAGACGCAAGGAATGCTTCTGTGAGTCTGCCTTTCCTTCGCCTGGCACTAGGCAACAGCATTCACCTTAGTTTTGGTTACTCCTTGTAGAGATACTCAGGCATAAGGACTTCCAGAACTGTTTCAGAAACTGGCAAGAACAATGGGTGCGATAAGTGTGCCAAAGTGAACGAGAGTATTTTGGGCAGAATGGCAACATGTCTTTCACTGTAATAAAATTTTTAAAATCTAAACATCTATCTGATAGTTTGGTTACACCTCATACAGATCCCTAAAAGACTTCATTCAAAAAATAACATGAGGGATTGGGAAGATAGCTCAGTGGCTTAAGCGCCTGCCTGGCAAGCACAAAGTCTTGAATTTGGTCCCCAGTACCACATGCCGTGCTGGCCCTTGAACCTCAGGTGTTGTGGCATGTGCCTGTAATTCCAACACTGGGGAAGTTGAGATAGTAGGACCACTATGAGTCTGATTTGCAGAGGGAGACCCTATACCAAAAAAAAAAAAAAAAATCAAAAATAAGAGGAGGGTCCAGGAATCTGTACTTTAAGAGTATCCCAAGAGCCGGGGAGATAGCTCTGTAGAATAAGCACTTCCCTGGCAAGTGCAAGGGCCTGAGTTCAATCCCCGGTTCTGCCAAAACAAACAAAAAAAACCCCCAAAAACCAGAGTATCCCAGATGATTCAGACATGCAGTGAAGTTGCAGAACCCTTGATCTATCTTTACACACACACACACACACACACACAATTTTTTAAAAATGTATATGTGCTTTACCACACAAAAGTGCTTTCATATATATGCCCCCATTTAATCTGTACAACTAGTAACATTATTCTGATTTTACAAATAATAAAGCTGAGGGCCAGAAAAAGGAATCAATGCCACAGCACAGTAAGGAACAGCTGTGATGCCCGACCCCAGAGCTCCTGGGTCCCAATTCCTTGTCCCTCCAAGGCACAGCTCATACTTCCTTGCTGGCCCAGAAGCCCCTGCAGCTCTTCCTGGTGGCATCAGGCCTGGAGCACACTTGGCTCCAGCCCCCTGCTCTTCACATTCTGATAATGTGGACTCCTTGTAGAAAGCCTTCACATAGCCCCACAATAGACTGGGGACAAAATCCAAGCTCTTTGAGTAGACTTCAGGCCCCCTCATTGCCTGAAAGCTTTTGCTGTTTTAATGACTGCAGTCTTGCCTCTCTTTCACCACACTTCCGCAATCTTGAACTGGCTGCAGTGTTAATTCCAGGTTTCTATCATGCAGAAACCTTCACGGGTGCTGAGTCTCTCTGCAGAGAACATTTTCCTATCCTTCCTGCTGCCTACACCCACCTTCCTTTGCAGATCACAGCTAAGCTACCACCCTCGTTAAGAAACTCCCTGGACAGCCATAGGACAGTATGCACTTTGACTGCATTCTGACATCAGTGTGACCTTTCTTCTACTCCTTAGCTGATCTTGCTGAATAAAACATCCATGGTTATGATCTGACTCCTTGACTTCAAGGTAATCACTGCCTCTTGGCCACTGCTTTATCCCCAGCACCCAGTACAAAGTCTGTACATACAAAGTAGGCATTAAGTTGGTATTGATTTATATACAAACAAATGATGGATAGACCATTAGTTACATCTATGGACTAAAAAATGAATAGGGGAAATACATGATGCATCTTAGTAGGCCAGATGTTTTAAATGAATGTTGAACAGAATGTTTCCTCCAAGCTACTTTCATTACATGTTGGGAGTGCTCTAGTTCTACCTAATAAGGATCTCCACTTGAGTACCAAATGATGTGTCTTTTGACCTGAAAAGATTATCACTAGGCTGAAATTCTCTATAGGAGGCTGGATTTGTTATACTGATAAAGAAGATAGATACACAATCTATCCCACTTAGACTTTCCACAGCTCTGAATATAACCACGCATATACGTACTTCATCCATTGAGGGTCTTAACTTGGCCCGAGTTGCAGCACACTGGCCTGCCAAGGAGAACAGCTTAGCAGAGAAGTTGCGAGGACAGGGATGTGCTTTCTTATCTAGAAATGACAGACACGAATCGAGGCCTCTCTTCTCCATCAATTCCATAAGGAGATCCCGCTGTGAAGAGAAGATAACCTTATTACATGAAGCTCAATCAGAAAAACAACCAGAAAAAGTGCCAACAGGAAAATGTTCTTACCAGCTGAATATGTTTGGGATCATCTAACACCACTTTACAACCTGTCAGAACTTCCATTATTACCTATAAGGAATATGCAAAGTCAGTTATATGTATAGATACACATACAATATATGTTGAAGTATTACCAAGACAATGAATACACTCCCAATGCTTCCTATTTTATTTCACTGATTACACAAAATTAATGTGTAAAATAATGAGTGATAGAAACCGAGCAAGTCTAGAAGCTAAAGCTCTTAGAAACTTCTTTTAAAAACTTAACAACATTCTGGGCAATAAGCTTTGCTCCTTTGTTAACTTAAAAGTGTTGACACTTACAATTCCAAAACTGTAGATGTCTGTTTTTGTAGAAAGCTTTCCCTGTCTGATATATTCTTCTGGCATGTACCATAGACATTTACTGCTGCTGCTGGTCATGTTTATAGTTGAACTCTGTTGGTCCAGGTGGTGTCGGAAGTGTGCCATGGCAAAATCAGTTAGTTTGGGTTGAGATTGATCATCCAAAAGTATATTTGCACTAAAATTGTGATCAAGGACAGACAAGATAAAACGTCACCAAAGTTCTTCCGTGAAATACAACATGGCAAGCTTATTTTCATGTCTGGCTACCTTGAAACATTAATGAAATAGCCACACATAAAATTTCCATGAAGTGGGGGGTCATTTTTTGTTTTACTTCTTTTGAAGTATACACCTACATGTTGTATACAACCTAAGACAAAAATCAGACCTATGAACACTGAACATTTCAAATTTGCAGATACGTGTATGGACAGGGGATAAAGCTGACGCTCTATCACAGGGTAAGTGAGGCACCTTACAGGTAAGGAGAAGATAAACTAAATTTTATAATGTATGATTGAAATATATAGTGAATATTTAACTGTTTTTAAATTTATTAGAATACAGGATACATTGCCATTAATCCTCTGAACATACTTCCCTTTGCTTGGAACATACGTAACCCATCATTCTTCAACTTTACAAAGCAATTCGGGAAGTCCCTTTCCGAGTCTTTTTAGTTGTGTTGTTATGGCTACCTTTGTGTCCTGAATCTATTCAAAGTGTTCACCTTTTATGGTTATTCTGACTTTGAAGAAGAGCCAGAAGTCACAGGATGCTAAGGTGGATAAGGACACACCTTAATGTTCCTGCAAACTAGCGTTTAGGTTGGATACTGCAGCAGCAGCAGCAGCAGCTGCAATGTATTTTTTATTACAAGTTCACAAAAGAGGACTTCCAGGACTGCTTCAGAAGCAGCTAGAGCAACGGGATAACTATGTTCAAAGGGAGGAGGGATATTTTGAAGGGGCTTAAAAGTAAGGAGCTTTTTACTGGATTAATTTTTAAATGAAGCATTCACTGTATATTTCAATCACACTGTAATCAGCTAATAATTGCTATATGCATGAGCTGTGCTATAGATTACTTGATTTATCACAGCAGGGCTACCAACCCGGAATAATTAGAGCAATCTTTGTAGTCCCTGCATAGTCCTAACCTGTAGGGAGCAGCCAAAACTGGGAGTTGGTCCTACGTGTAGGGGCAAGAAAAGGTTCCAGTGCCTAAAGCAGCCAAGATACGTCAGTCTTGAGAAAAGCATCCTGCCTATATAATTTTGGTCTTAGTCACTGGATAACCTTGTGTATCTTGATACTAACTTTGCTAAAGTATAAATAAATAACCCTGCTGTTGTCCCTTCTGGAAAGAGGCCTTCACCTGACCTCAGCTCTGGTGTCTTGCCTTTCTTTTCTAAATCCTCTAGCCATTTCCCCCCAGGACCACCGAGAGCTGTGCAGGTTCACGGCACTAACTCACAGTTCCATCTCTGCAGCTTGTTTTCATTTTTGAGTCTTCTTCACATTATAAATATCTACAGAAGTGAAGCCCAACTGCCTACAATGAATTTTGGTGCTCACCATGAAAAGACCCTAATAATCATTTGACATCTCTTCTCATCTCAGTTTACTCTTACCTTCTCAGGCCTGTCTTAGCAGAGATGGGAAAGGATTCTCTACGAGGAAGACACATTTCACCTAAGTGGGACCCGTCCTTCCTTTCCTGGTTCTCTAACTGCTGGCAGGTGACTGTGAGCCATAAGCCTCAGGACCCTATTTCCTCACATATGAAGGAGGGAGAACAACAGAGTTTATAGGATGGGTAGGGTAGATACATCTGCTCCCTCTCACTGTTCCATGAATGGCACCTAGTATAAAAATATACAATCAATTACAAAAGAGGAGATGAATGTTGACAGAGGAAGTAGATCACACATGAAAGAGGCTCCTGCTTCTCAGTTCTGCTCAGAACTTGCTTTTCGTCTCACAAAGCTAAAGCTTTTACCAGTAGGCCTCCGTATCCCAGATGGCAAGTAGAATATTTGTAGTACTACGCACTGTTATCAAAAGTAGTAACGGCAAGGACCAGCTGACTAGCTCAGCGGATTAAAATGCCTGCTTAGGCAGGTGTGGGACCAGGGTTTGATTCCTGGCATGCCATGCCAGCCCTATCCCTGGGGCATGCTGAGATAGTGATAGAGATTGGGCGTGGTGGCACACACCTGTAATCCCATCACTCGGGAGGCTAAAAGCAGGATTACTACCAGTCAGATCTGTGTACTGAGACCCTGTAGACCCTATACTAAAATATACTTTAAAAAATGGTAATAACTACTGGATAATAAGAAATTCTTAGTCCTAAACAAATATTTGGTCTTATAAAAATTCCAGAAATCTTTGCAGGCAAACAGTCAGGCCCTTTATTCCACAGGAATAAAGTGCAAGTCTTACAACTTTCATAGACTTAAGTCTTCTGACAAAGAATTGGGTAGAATAGTTTTGTAAGATGCTCAAGCACCAAGAATTATGATCTAGACTTTATCTGGGACTGAAGTGAAAATAGAAAAAAATCAAGAGATACAACAGGGTCCTCTACGAGTGGAGAAAGATACGTTTCAGATTTCATTTGAATCCTTCCTATGAGGGTGGCGTGAGGACTGCTAAGATCCAGAGTCCTGCAAAGACATGAGCCCAAAGCCCCCACGTGACCTTGCATTTATTGGAAGAAAGCCAGAGAGGCTGGATCCTCAAGATGTGTATCAACAAGCACAATCTTCACTTTCTCTTTGCTTTGTCTCTTCTCTTCAAGACCCCAGCAGCGTTAGAGCTAGACCATGTCTCACACAGACCCCTGGATATTATTTATCACCTGTTTTTCCATTTTCTCACCTGAAGAAGTACTGACCATCCTGACACCTCTCTGAGGATGAGGAAAAACGTGAGATCCCATTTTCTCTCAGGTACTCTGCAAGAACTGGCGTTCAGTTCCTAATTGCATCTATCATAAGCATCACTTTGCTTGCTCACATCAATTCCAGGGCTGCTGCAGATGTCCGGATGGCTCACAGGGCTCGAGTACGTTAATATAGGAGTCTGCAGGGTGAGCTGGGAGCTGTGGAAGAGGGCAGAGACGCTTCCCAGCCCTCACTGCAAGGAGCTGAGCTTCTGCCGCTCCAGCTTTCTCACAGCCACTTCTGCATGCCCTCTCCCCCTTTCAGCACACGGAGAGCACAGGAAAAGCTCAAGTTCCTGAATTTCAAAGTACCTTGACTCTGGCTTTAAAGAAGGCATGTGATCCTAACAGACAATGCCAGAACCATAAAAATGCCGAAGTGGAATTCTGGAAAATACTTAAGTATCCTGGAATCTTTTCTAAGTACAAGAACAACAATGAAATTCATAAACTAATCCATGTATTTGAACCTTCAGCAAAACTGGAGGGAAGCTTTCAGCAGCTGGTGAGTTATTCATCGGGAAAACTGAGGCAGAAGGGGGCTGAGGGATAATATTTTTCCCTCAGAAAAAACTCAGGGCCCCAGGTCACTGGGATGCCATCTACACGAGGTGAAATTATTTGAGGGCACTGCATTTACATACTGAATAATGACATCTGGTAAAAAGACAAGTTGCTCACCAGCAAGCCTTCGTGTACCACACGAATTGTGAAGTCAATGATTTAGTCTGTTCTAAATAAAGGTTAATGACAGCTGAGTAAGAAGGATGTTCTGTGTTAGGAAAGTAGAAATTGCAAAAGGCTGTTCAGCAATCAATTTCTGCCCTAATTCTTTCTCCTGCCTCAATCTTAAATAGAACATTCCAGCATAAAGTGCCTTTACCTACCTGTGCACGTCGGCTGAGTATATATATCCTATGAGGCAAAAACAGACTAACAAAGAACATAACGCAACTAAAATTGTATCAATACAATGCAAAAGGTCAGCTTCCTAGCTACTGTGGCCACTGAAGAAGTACACAAACAACAACTCTGGTCCACACCAAATGGTCCACCCCTTCACTTTAGTGTTTGTGTGACTTTTTTTTTTCCCTACTCTTTAAGGCAATTTGCTGTAACAGAGAGGCCATGATCTCAGAAGGACCTTTGGTTGTATACTGAAAAAGCATGGCAAATTCTACTAGGGAGGGAGTTTGTATCCTGACTCTGGGGTCATTATTTAATCTTTCCCTTAGGAAGAAACTTTAAAGAGAAGAACTGAATCCTCTAAATAATGCTACGTTATAGTGAAAATTGCTTTGTGGGTTTTTCTCCTCATTAGTTTATTGCCTAATTTAGTTGAAGCCTTTGGGCTTTAAAATAAAGCAGGATAATATACCTAGATTATAACACAAGATTTGAATTTCAGTGCTAATGCTATGTTTGGCATGTATGAGCATCACTGATACACACACACACACAAAGGAAGCTTATTATTGTTAGCTCAGTTTGAGTGCTTAGGGACCATCAAAAAAAAGATCGGAGGGGGGAACAAGGATATAGCTCAGTGGCATAAGCGCCTGCCTAGCAAGTGCAAGGTCCTGAGTTCGATCCCTGGTACCGCAATAAATAAATAAATAAATAAATAAAT